AGGTGATCGTACTTGGTCACTGGCGTGTATCTTTCTGATTGCCCAGCTGGTGTGAGCAAAGAGGCTTAAAAAATTGATGGGGCAGCGAAAAGACTTCCTGAAGCCTCACTGACGAACTAGTGGGTAAACATCCTTGCGTGGAGTTGAATCCCGCTTTGCTGTTTCCGCCCTCTTGGCCGTGGTCTCCCCGCTGAGGGAGTTTCAGAGTGCATCTGTTTTCCCTCTCGGTAGCAGTCGTTCACGTGCGTGAAGACAGCTTGCATTTCTTTCCTGAGTCTTCTGGAGGCTTAGCTGTTCTCTCCTGTGACATGGTTTTAAGTTGTCTTATTCTCTGAGCATCTTCTGTTTTTTCTGAATCTCCTCTAAAGCGCGGTACTCCAAACAGCAGCAGTTAGTACGCTCGGCATGGTGGCTGCGGTCCCGTAGGGCGGACCCCGTGTGGGTTTGTTCTTCACTTTGCAGGTAGAGAGATGGAAGCAGGTGAGAGGAGCTTCCAGTGGGACGGCCAGGAGGTGGGGCCGTGGCCCTGCTGCCTCTGTTTTACCACAGCACACACTGCCGGATACTGAGTTTCTGTTCATCATGTTTTATTTTGCTTAGATGTTAGGCATGTTCAGTGCACAGTGTTAAAGCTATGCAGCCTGGGGCAGAGTTGACCCCTCTTTACTAATTTTGTAACCTTCGAAACCTTGGTTCCACCTTCCCATGCTGCATGTTCCTCATCTGCTTACTGGGATAACAGTAGTACCTTCCTCATAGGTGGTGCTGAGGATGAGTGAGTTGATGAACACACAAAAATGCATCTGGCATGTATTAAGTGCTCAATAAATGTTGGTTTTATTATTATTATTACTGCTATATACCAGCCCAAATTGTTGGCTCTGTTATTTCTAAAGATGAAAACAAACATCTTGGTATTAATGGGTTTATTCAGTAATTCCATAATTACTTAACTATTTAATGATCTTCTGTCCTCACCGGATTAGATGAACGTACTAAAAGTCTTCCTTGGCTCTCCACGTGGTCTCAACCTGCGCAACATCTTATGGCACGGGTTCGCGTCTCCGGGGGAAATTGCTCCAAAGTAAGTTGGCAGCAAAGTGATGTTCCTCCTCTTTGCATCTGCTAAGAGTTTGTTTTATCTTGAATTTCATGGGAAGGAAAGATGGGTTTTGTGAAAGATGAGTTTTGAGACAGAATTTTGAAGGTAAAATGGAATCTTACCAGCTCAGTAACCAGGGTGGTGACAGGATTATGGTTCCAGTGATCTAAACCCAGGTGCCGGGGCTGCCCCAGAAGGAAGTGAGGCCAGACACTGTGGGAGGGGAGACGCTGAGGCTTCGGCTCAGGAGTTTCAGAGATGATGTCGTTCCTCCCGGCCATTCACTGCGCAGCTTAATCCCTGCATCCAGGCAGAGTTCTGTGCCATTGAATGGTGCTTTGCTTTTAATTTTAAACTTTTTGTTGTGAAAGTGAAGCTTTTTACGTGTATGGTGGAGTTGATTTTCTGACAGATCTGTGGTGGTTTCCCCTAGATACTGTGCAATGATGGTGTTGCTGACAGCGGGATTGGGCCAATTACTGCAGAGTTACCTTCAGCAAACTCACTTGACGTTGGCACACCGGTCTTTCGTGACTTTGACAAACTTAGAAGATTTGATCGTTTTTCCTGGCAAGTACTACATTTCCCGTTTTCCCCCTTAATATCTCTTTGCAAAGATATTTGTAAAGTTAGTAAATAGCAGTTAGACTCAGACTCTTGAGGTGAAATAAAGCAGTTATTCTCCTGTGTCGAGATGGCTTTTGAAGTTGCTGGAAGGATCTCCCACTTTGCTGTGTGGAACTCTACCTCTTCCCGCCGTGCCCCCAGGGCTGACGTGGGAGTCACAGCCGTGTGAATCCATGTTGGTTAGAGCTGGTTTATTCCTCAGGCGTGTTACATTTAAAAACGGTTTAGGGATGTTTCAAAACAGAAGATCATTAAACAGTTAAGTAATTACGGAATTACTGAATAATTTCCTTCTCCTTCCACCTCTTGTTCCTTTGTACTCCCAGTCATTGTGCCAAAAGTGCCTGTGGTGTGAAGCAGTGGTCCCCAACCCTTTTGGCACCAGGGACCAGTTTCACGGAAGACAGTTTTTCCATGGACGGAGGGGGGGCGGATCTCTGCAGCCTGGTGCCCAACAGGCCGTGGACCGGTTGGTCTGTGGCCGGGGGTTGGGGCTGCGGGTGTGAAGGGTCTTCTGTGCCTCCTGAGAGTACATTTTACTTTTCGTGATCAGTGTGCTCAACTGGTCAGCCCCCAACTCCCTGTAGAGTTGTTTTTACCCAAATCGCTAAAGACGGGCAGTTTTCCAGGTCCCGCATTTTCCCAGGTGCCTGCGGTCAGCGGTGCCTCTGGCTCTGGGTCAGGGCGATCATACCCTTTGGTGGGAGCCCTGCTGCAGGGTGTGGCCCACCCACCTGAAGCGGTTGGCTCATTGGCAGCACTCGCCAGGCATGCTCCTGTCCTGTGTGTGGTGTTGAAACTATTTGCTATTTTGCAGATGTTACTCACGAGATGCTTTCAGTATTAGAAGAAGTGATGGTGAAGTCTACTTTTATATTAGAAATCATGTTGCCCTACTGGGAAACTGCACTGACCAAGTTCAAGGCGCACAGGTAACGGCAGGGTGCGTCGCAGAGCGGTTTCTGATCGTGGGAGCCAGTCCTCGACGCCCGTACCTCCCATGCTTTGCCGTGGGGTAGAAGGAAAGGAAGCTGGGCTGACTTCATGGGCCTGAGCGTAAAATACCTTCATGTAATTACTTAGGAGATAGCTGGTAATTGTGTTTTAAACTTTGTGACTTTGTGTGTCATCCTTTTGGTACAGTGGATATAATTATTTTTCAAAATTCACTTTTTAATAGGTTTTTAAGTTCTTACTGTGAGTGAAGTAGTGTTAGGGAATCATGACACTGAGACAAGTAAGCTCTGTCCCTGTTTCCGGCTGCTCACTCTAGAGCAAATGTGCATGGTGGTGTCAGAGGTCGGATGAGTCACCTTGACACCGTACAGGTGACATTACCCTGATACTGTTTTAAGCCTTGAAAACCCACTAACATTCTGGTATTTGAGTTTTCTTAAGAAGTGATGAAATGAGTCTGGAAAATCTTTGATGACATTTTACTCTACTGAAGCTACCAAAAATGGTTCATCAAACATTAAAACACTGGAAAACGGTTTTAAGATCACTGGTTAATGAAACTTTGATTGTTTTTGTTTCTCATATGAGCGAGTAAGAGTAGTGCCACTTCTCCTTGCCATTCATACCATGTTGGTCGTATGCGGACTACAGTGGAGTTACTGTGATGTTGGTGCCAATATTTATTTTCAAAACATGGAGTTTTGCTTATTTCCCTCCAATCTCGTAGGTTTGCCGACTGTGCCATATTGTTACTGACACAGCTGGAGACTGGACTTAGGAAAGTTTTTGCCACAGTTAACAAATGTCCAAAGAGGCTCCTGATTGCTGAGGTACACGTGCTTTTGCTATTGATTGTGACTGTTGTTGCTTATTGACACTTTTCTGTGACAAATTGAATGTTTTAAAAGAAAGTTTTTTTATTTGCTGTTGAAATGAACTTTTTAGCTAGGAGCGGTCTTTGGAAGCCTTCACTATCATTTTTTGTGGCTTCCTATTATAATGATTGTAGGATTTGTATTTGTTATCTATACTTGTTTTTGATAGTTCTGTAGTATTTCCGAGTAGCCTTTTAAACTCAGCGACGCCATGACAGTGTCAGGCACTTGCTGCTTCTCTCCAGCCACGCTGACGAGGCGTCGTTCTGACGGCATGTGACGGTTGTGCAGACCACGGGGAGTGCCACGGTGCGCGCCACTCCTGGGGCAGTGTGATGAGAAAGACCGAGGCAGACCTGGCTTGAACTGACCTTGGGGAAGTAACCAAAACCCACTGAGCTTAGAGATGGGACGTGGTGCCTTTCTAGGAAGCTGTGGGGTTTATAGGTGCTTTAGTGCGGTGCCTGCCACATGGTAGATCATGGAGCTGTTGTCGTCACGCACACACGCTCTGCTGTTCGGGGCTCCCACGTGAGCCCTGGTTGCCCTGTCTGAGGCGAGTGTCTCCTCCAGTTTCCAACCTACCTCCCCGGGCTCCTAGGATCTCTCATTTCTGCCCCTGTGTAATAGCCCTGATTCAATTCTGCTGCTAGTGACTGGGGTCTCAAAACAAAATGACGGCAAGGACTTAAATAGGATGGAAATGTGTTTCTGCCTCTCACACGCAGGAGATGGCAGCCCCCGTCTCGGCACTGGCCGTCCCCGTCTGTGTCTTCGTGCAGGGGCGTGGGCACGCCTGCCTCAGCAGAGGACTCTTGCCCATGGCTCCCGCGGGCCGTGCCAGGGTCCCGTCTGCATCCCGCCAGCAGGGGAAGGAGGGAAGAAGGGCGTGCCCCTCTTTAAGGACACTGCCCAGAGGTGGCAGGCGCCGCTTCCTCTCAGCCCAAGCTTGGTCGCGCCCGTCTGGAGGCCTGCAGATGTTTCTGGGAGTCGGTGCCCAGCTCCCTGCGGGAGCTCTGTTGGTAGAGGAAGGGGAGGGCGTCGAGGGACAGACGGCAGCATCTGCCACCCCTGGGACTCTCAGCCTTCTCTTTTTGCTCCGTTACGGAAGCGTTTCTCAGAACTCGGTGTTCAGCCCTGTCCTCCCTCTCTGTTCTGTCCGGGCGATCTCACGCAATCCCATGCCTTCAGTTCTCACCTCTGTGGGAACAACAGTTAGAGACTATTAATATTTGAGCCCCATGACGACGAAAACCAGCGTGTCACAAGAGTTTGACACAGCCAAGCGGTGCTGAGAGCGCGGGGTCCCCACGGCGTTGCCTCTCACCGACGTTTCTTTGGTCCCCAGAGTTAGGTTTACATCTCTTCGCTGAAGATCACATGTGTTTTCCTCCGCATCTCAGATTTCACAAAGGCATATTTTTTCTCCCTCACGCTCGCTCTCTGAGATTCCCGTTCTGTGGTCTTCATCCTGGTAGTCTCTCCGGCACCAAACTCGAGCAGCGCTTTGCTTCCTCACCCCTCATCCTCCTCGCACACTCCGTGTCCCCGCAGTCATGCCTATCAGAGGGTGCTTCCTCCTGGTCCGCCTGCTGCGCCAGGCGCTCTCCCCGCTGGTCTCCACGGCTCTCCTCCTCCTCTGATCCGTCCTCGTGCTGCCACCAGTTACTTTCTCAGCCAACATTCCTGTGTCATTTGTGGTCTGCACTTGCTCGAGCACCTGTGACGACATCCCTGTGCCTCCAAGTAAAGCTCTCGCTGTGCCGGCACACAGGGACCTTGCTGTGCTGGCCCATCCTCCCCTTCTGTCCCATTGCCCCCGCCACCACTCCAGCAGCCTAAGGTAGGCTCCTCCGCACCAGCTCCAAACGTCCCTGTCCCCAGGCTCCCCACAGGGGCATCCCGGGGCCTGGCCCGCTCGCTGTGGCGGCTGCTTCTCTCTGCAGTCCGCCTTTGCTTGCTCTCCGAGGCAGTCGGTTTGCCTTCCTTGTGTGCGTTTCTGTTGAGGTCTCCCCCGGTTCTTGAGAGCTGCCCCCGGCGCCCACGCTCGGTGCCTTAGATGTAGGCTTTGCTCAGCTCGCAGCCGTGCAGCGCAGTCTGGCAGAGGGAACTGGGGCTGCTCCTCAGAGCTCACTCCATGGCGCTTGGGGCTGCGCGCTGGCAGTGCTCAGCCACACAGCGCCACGCGGTGCAGGTAAACTTCATGATTTACTTGTCATCTGACTGCACAAATAACACAGAAGTTTCCACTGAGCACATAATTTATCAAAGAATATCTTAAGTTTTAGCTCAGGCTTTCATCCAGAATAAGCAGGATCAGTGTGTAAGGTAACACGCGTGTGAGGATGTTTTGTATATTACCAAATGCTACGCAAATGTTCGTGTTATTTACTGAACACTTTTTATGGCATAAAGTCTCTTGAAGATAATGGAAAATATGAATATGAGTAAGATTTTCTGACCTTTAACAAACATATATTAGGGGCGAGAAGACATTTATGCTAATTGTATTAGCACATGTAGTTTATGGAGATAAATGAAAATTTCAGCTTTTTAGAAAAGTAGGCATATGTGGCTGGCAACTTGATATTTAGAACAGAGCTCAGGAAGAATTTCAGGGCTGGCGATACAGGTTTGAGAGCTACAGATACAGATTTTAGAGGCATCTGCATAGTAATAAATGTTGAAGAACGTTGGTAATATTGAAAAACGGTTATAAGCATTAATAAATAAGAAAACATTTCTTGAGAGCTAGTTTACACAAAATGCTGATTTCATCGTATGTGTAGAATCTCACTGAATCCCTCCAGAAGCCTTTTGAGGTAGGCATTGTTCACATCCCGTTTTACAGGGAAACTGAGTCCATGGAGTTGCGAAAGTTGCCCAGGGTTTCACGTCTAGAAAATGTTGAAGTTGGCGTCAGAGCTCTGAGGCAGCCCGTGTCTGCAGACTGTGCTGATTATGCCAAGAAGCATATCAATAAAGTCTAAAAAAACCAAAAGCTATCTGTTGGAGAAACTGTGAAATCGTACTCACTCATGCACAAATAGCCGTCATCAGTAGAAATATTCTATTTTGTGAGTAGCGATTTGTAAAGTCTGGAGTCTCAAATTTTAGAAATAACTGGGCGAAAGGACTTGTAAGGGCAGTGCTTAACCTCAGTTGTTGGGTTCACTGTATTTTCTTTTATTAACATAATGTGTTTGTTGTGTCAACAACATTCTTCCCAAAGTGTTGCTAGGCAAATGTTTATTTTTACAAGAAGGTTTCAGATTTGTGGCTGTGTACCATAATTTTTTCCTACTTTGAATAATGTTACTCTATTTGTATTTTGTTTTAATTGTTTCTTTTTGTTTCTTTCCTTTTCTGAAGTCAACAGCTCTTTATACCACCTTTGATGAAGTAAGTAATTAAACTTGTAACCTGAAACAAGCAAAACATTGTCTTCTTTCGGAATAC